AACTAATTAAGTGAATTCGGACAGTTTTGACATTGTTTCGTATTTTGGGCTTAACTCTCTCATCTGAGCTCCGATTGAGATGATTCAAAATTCTGTGGAACGCTAAGAAAGAGATCTACAACTTTTATGTTTTGAGTTTTTAGATATACTGACTGAATCAAGGTTTTAATCGATCTTGAAGTTGACGCATCTGTATTACCGACGTCCTGGAGCGTTCTGACTTGTTATGCAAGTCAGTCTATTATTGCACGTTTTGAAGACATACATGCTGCACAAAAATTACAGCTGGAAACACCACCTTCCTATTTTATTAGGACTCTATTTTATTTTATTTCCAATTAGAATTAAATTAGGATTAATGTTATTTTAGGATAGGAGAATATTTCTTTTAGGAGATTGAGTGGGATTTGAATTCTTAAATTAGATTTTAAAAGGGAGATCAGATTAGGTTTGGGGAACCACGCCCCTCTCTTCTCTTTTCTGGAATTTTTCTTTCTCTTTGGAGTTTTGGTTGATGGCCATGAGCGGCTAAAACTTTTGTAACTTGGTCGTTGGAAACGGAGACCTTGGAATCAACCAACTGTGAGATCTAATCTATGTTATTTTAGTGTTCAATTTTTGTGTTTGAGTATTGAATGTTATTCTGTGCATATTTTCATGATTGATGCATTTAATTACTAGGAGGCCTACTAGTGTATTATTTGTTGAAATCTACCTCTAAGTTTGATATCAAATCCGTAATTGTTTGATCCCTCCAACTTGTGAAGCAATTAGGGTTAGTAATTTGCTGCGTCAGGAATTAATAACCTTATGAAGAACATTCAACTAAATTAAATACAACCGCTTGTGTTTGTGTTGTTTAGCTTCATCGATCTCTCTAATTCTTAAGGCTGCCACTAGATTAAATCTTGAGCGCTTGTCTAGGGTTGTTTAGTGGTAAGATTAATTAAGAGCGCTTGTTTCCTAATTAATTAAAATTAAGGAGAGATAGGAAAATAGTTCCAACGGTGAATATTCAATGTATGAATTGATTATTTTTGCATCAATGATCAGTTGTGAGATTCTGATGGTGGATGTTGACGGAGACCAAGTTTCGTTATATTAATTGATTTCGAATTGAACTGTTTTTGTTTTTTTTTTTTTGGTTTTTGCTAAGAACGTTTTCTGTTTTACACAAAACCCCCCAGCTTTGTTCACATAACATCAAATTCGGCTAGACACTCTTCGTGGGATCGACCCTTGTTTACCCTATTTACAGTTTAGTAGTTAGGTTCGGAAGGTTTTAATTCTGGGTGCCTACGACAGCACGCCATGTACTAAAATAACCTTTTAATAGTGCAAGGGCAAAAGGGCAAATTAATAAATGCTTGGGCTCCTTTTAGAATAAGATTTTATTGGGGCATGCAAGTGAAAAACAACTAATTACAAATGGCCCATGTATATATAAATGTAAATGGTTGCATTTTAGGTTAAGGGTTCATCTTGTTCACTCAAAACAAAAACAAGCTCTCTCTCTCTTAGGTTTGACCACTTTCTCATTCTCTCAAGTTGGTGTTAAAGTGTGGAGGATTCATCCTTTTGAGTATTGGCTTCATCAAACCTAATCACTAGGAGAAGGTATAATGTTTTTATGCTTTATTTGTATTTGTTTGAATCCTATTAATCCATATCTTTGCATGCATGTCTTGTTTACATGCTTCCAATCAACATTTTCCACCACCTCTTCATGGTTCTTTCACAAAGTCTATAAATACCCCTTTGGCTAGTCACTTTAAACTATCCAAAGATCAATCACCTATAATAGAGCATGAGTGAGAGATACATGGCCAAATTACCCTATGCATCAACAATTGGCAGTCTTCTGTATGCCATGGTATGTACAAGGCCAGACATAGCACACGCAATGGGAGTTGTGAGTAGGTGCATGAGCAATCCAGAAAAGCAACATTGGGAAGCAGTGAAGTGGATTCTTAGATACTTGAGAGGTATTACAGATTTAACACTATGCTTTAGAAAGTCAGACTTACAGTTACAAGGTTATGTGGATGCTAATATGGTTGGTGACATTGACAACTGCAAAAGTACCACAAGTTATGTCTTTATATTAGGTGGTACAACAATCAGTTGGGTTTCAAAGTTATAGAAGATTGTTGCCTTTTTTACTATAGAGGCAGAGTATGATGTTGTGACAAAAGCTAGTAAGTGGTTACAACAAGTCCTAGAAGAGTTAGATCAAAACTATGAGAAGAACATTTTGTATTGTAATAGCCAAACTGTTATTCACCTTGCAAAGAACCCAGTCAACCATGCTAGGACAAAGCACATACAGGTTCGATGTCATTTCATATGCTCATCTTTAGAAGGAGTTATAGCTCTAAAGAAGTTTCAAGGGAGTCAGAATCCCGTTGATATGTTTACGAATGTATTGAGAAACAAAAGTTGTTTACAACTTAAAATGGACTTCTTGGTTGAAAAAAGAAGAGTTGATGCCTCTACTAATAGAAATGAAGAATTGAAAACGTGTTGAATTAGTCTCCAAGTGGGAGATTGTGGAGTCAAATTCAATCCAAATTAGTATTGTATTTGGACATTGGTTTTCCTAATATGTTTCTATGTAGAATTATTTTTCTTTAAGAATACTATTAGAAATAGGAATATAATTGAATTAGGAATTAAAATAACCTTCCTATTAGGATATGAGATTTGAGTCCTATTAGAAATAGTATCCCATGTATATTACCTATAAAAAAAGCTTAAGTCCTAGAGTTTAGTAAGTCAAGAGAATAGAAGGCAAAGCCACAATTAGAAAGTGAGAGCCACTGAAAAGAGGTTTAGAGAGAGAGAGCCAATTTGTGAGGCTTGTGAGAGACTTTTGCAACTTTTTCTTCTTCATAGTGAAATTCCACAATCGCCAATTGGACGTAACTCTCATACGGAGAATGAACCATTATAAATCTTGTGTTTGCCTATGGTTTATGTATTTGTCCTTTGTTTGCTTATTTTTGCTTTCATAGAGCAACAAAGCTATGGCACCGAATATTTTGCACCGAAAATGTGTACCGGCCTACGTGTACCCAAGCGTCTGATTTTTCTATCAAATTTTTTCTAGTGAACGGTCTTCCATCAAAGATGGACGACCGTTCACTCGCATGGACTCCTGTCCATATTTGATGGACGGGGGTCCATTGACTACGGACGGGCGTCCCCATTTAAAGGACGCCCGTCTATAAATAAAATGGAATAAAAAATTTTATAAAAATTAGGGACAGTCATTCATACGTTATGGACAGTCATCCCTTCATTTTGGACGGGCGCCCGCAAATAAGGGACGCCCATCCTTAACCAAAATATGAAAATAAAAAAAAAAATAAAAATTGGGGATGGCTGTCCATAAATTTTGGATGGCCGTCCCTTACGTTTGGACAGGCGTCCATTAGGAATGGACGCATGTCCCTTAACTTTGGATGGGATCCATTAGGAATGGACGCCCGTCCATGCTTTTAAAAAAAAAAAAACCACCTTCTTCTTCGCTCTTCTTCTTCTTCTTCGCCAAGCCAAAAACCCCATCTCCTCTCTTCTTTTTGTCCAGTGTTATTCTAAGAGTAATGCAGATAGTAACCTAACCAGGATCAAGGGGAAAGAAGAAGAGGAGATGGTTACTATTCTTTTTTTAGCATGTCTCTTATGCTACAACTTATACAAGTCAAACATGCCTCTTTGGAAGTATGAAGGTCGGGTGGAAACTTTTCCAACCAAGGATCCTGCTATAGCATTCTCCAGTCAGAAGGCTATCCAGGTTGAAGAACTAGAGCCACTGGTAGATCTTAATTTAGGTGCTTCTGGCCTTGCTCTTATCAGAGAGAGCTTCATGGTACCTGTTACAGTGGCCTCCAAAGACCATGACGTCTACTCTGCTGAGTTAAAGATCAATCTGGTGGACGTAAAAGGAGGTGGTTTGTTTAGTCCAAGGGAAACAGAGCCATCCTCTATGGATAGTCATCATGTTGAGCTTATTGGCATTGTTGGGGCAGAAGGGAAGATGAATCTCAGTTGCGTTATGAAAAAATTGAGAAAATTTAGCAATCCTTTGGATTGGTTTCTGTTCCATTTCTGAAGAATGGAGACTCATGGTCTTGCAAATTAGAAATCAAGTGGCACAGACCCAAACCAGTTATGCTTTTCCTGTCTTTAGGGTATTACCCACTTCGCGATGAGTTGGCTGCACAGAAGGTCAACATCCACAAGAGCTTGCAAATTGAAGGAATAAGTGCCATTGCAATAAGCCATCGCTTTATGCTGCCTTTGTTTGCAAGGGACAAAAAGCTGGATGTAATTTCAACGACAAAAAGTTAGATGTAATTTCACACTCATATATGATAACAACAATTAGATGGTGATAACAACGTTCCGTTCCATTAAATAACAATCATACAAGTCTTATTAGGAAGATAGGATATTTTAGGCATAATTGCTTGGGATTTCTTTTCTTCATCAGTTGTTGAATGACAGTGCTTATCATTTTAGACAAGTTTTTGCCAAGAACTGCACTCAAGTCCCATTGCAGTTACAATCTATGTCTATTGGCAATGAGGACGGCGAGAGAGTAAGTCCATGTCCTGTACAAGACGATGGCAAAGACTTTTTAAACGCAGCCCTTCTGGTGCCAGGTGAATGTAGTGTAGTATAGGATCATCAAAACAACTAGAAGAAACCGACAAGGCAGTGAATATTTTTTTTTTCATGACAGTATATGTAAAGCTCTGAGTTATGTGCTTTTTGGATAGCCATCCATGCAATTTGGACGGCCGTCCATTTGTTTTTTTTTTTTTTTTTTTTTTATATTTACATTATGGACGGGCGTCCATTCCTTACGGATGCCCGTCCAAAATGAAGGGACGACCATCCATAATGGATGAACGGCCATCCCTAAATGTTTTTTAATTTTAAAAAAAAAAATTTGTTAATGGATGGGCGTCCATTAAAGTATGAACGCCCGTCTTCTATTTAGGAGTCCCTGTCTCATCTTTTATGCCGCCTGGGACAGTAAAAGCTGCGGCAAAAACTACGGTGGTAATAAGTGTTGCTACAATCATGCATGAATTTGCAGTGTCCTTCATCCATTTTTCCCCCTTATCCTTTAACGCTTTGATCTTCTGCTTAAATATATCTGTAGGAGTTTTCCCTTTCTTATTTTTAGCTTCAACATCCATTGGATCCACAATCTGACTCACTTCCTGCATTTATTGATAAGGAAAATCTTATCAAATTAGAAAACAAATATTGTTTTTCAGACGCAAAATAAGAGTGAAGTAAATATCTACCTCAAACCAAAACAAGTCTTGTTGCAGCTGGAGAGCCACTCCTGATACATTATTGAGCCGTTCTAGTGGTGGCATCATTCCAGCCAAATGCAAGATATTGTTTCCTGCTTTATCTCTATATTGAAATATTGGTTTCTTAAATGCTAGACTTATCTTGTCAATGAGTTTGAAGATTTCCTTTTGACGATTCAAAACAGCAACGTGAAATATGCTGTAATTGTTTCGATCAAATTTTAGTATCAAATCAGGGAATTCACGAATAATTATGGTGAGAAAATCAATATTTCATTGCTTGATAGCAATAAATATTACTGGTCAAGTGTATTCAATAATTTCTGAAATCTTATCTTCCTCCAGAAGTCTGATTTGTTGCAAAAGTCATTTGACTAATTCAAGTGCTTCATCGTTACCTGAACCAACAGAGTTTGGTTGAGCCAACTTTAATTAGTTTACAAGAAATTGAGGCTTCACATATCTTTGTTTTTGAAGAAAGACATTTCTTGTAAAGACTTGGAAAAAATGAAATAAAAAATGGCTTGAAATTAATAAGAGAATATTAAGTGACTGATGATGTATAAAATTGTTTAATAAATTAAGAATGTAATAATAAGAAAGTGCAACTCAACCTTAGAAGAAAAGAAGCAATTTGACGTTAAAGAATTGTTTGATTTGGGGCTACCACATATGTACAATTAAATTGATTTAAGTAAAATTTTAATAGAAAAAAATAATAGATTAGTTGGTTTGTGAATATAGAATGTAAAAGCCAAGACATTCAGCAATATGACTAATCAAGACATGCTTTAAGGTTTTGAAAAGTAGAGAGACTAACCTTTGTTCCATCTCTTAAAAATTCCCTGCTGCTTTTGATTGGCAAATTTAGGTGTTCAAGCCAAGATATGCAATGTTGTCTCCCAATTAGATTCCTCGCGACGATTGGCTAAATCGCCTTTTGTATAGATAATTCTACGCTAAACCTGATTACACAACAATCAAATTGATAGATAACTTAGATTCAACCCTAAAATAAATTCGATTCAAAGAAGAGTCAAATAATTAAATTGATACAATAATAATAAAATAGGTTAAAATATACAATTACTTAGTTCATTTTTGTTTTACACTGAAATGAAAATTAATTATACGGGTTAATGGCAAGACCAATGTAAAAAAAAAAAAAAAAAAAAAAAACAATGGAGGTTTCCCTAACCCATCCTTAGTTTATAACTTACGTGGTAAAAGTCAATTAAAATTAATTAGCCCAAATATAAGGTATAATGCATACTTACCATATAATCCACTTCTTATTAGACAGTTAATCAATTTGATGAGATCCTCGTCATTTAAGTAATCTCCAGAGGTATCATAAACGAACTCTACCATCTCTTTATGGCTTGACTGAGCTCCCATGTGAATAGGTAACATCTCATTTTCACCATGGATGTTTCTTAACTCACTATTTTTACAAAACATCTTTTTGGCTAGTTGTAAGTTTCCCGATGCAGCAACAAGACAAAAAGCTGTATTTCCATCATGATTTTTAATTCCTAAATCCTCTGGATTCATTTTATCAACCAAGACTTGGACAAAACTAGAGGACTGGGCTTCAACTACGATGTGAAGAGCGATATCACCTTTCTGTGATATTCTAGACGTTATATAATTTGGATGGTCATGACAAATTTTTGTAGCTGTGCTCCAGTTATCCTTCAATGCAGCCTGATACAATTTTTTTGTGATGTGTTGATCAAGCCACCAATAATCTTTCAAGGTGAAACAAGATCATATATAAAAATTAATTCATTCAAACTGAGCTTCTATAGTAAACTAAACATACGAATTATCTATACGAGACTGGATGAAGATACTATTTACACTCAAGTTTAAACTCTACACACTTGTTACCTCTCAGTCACTCAATATATAAATACACATTGCCAAATTTTGAAAATTTTCTTGCTTACTCTATGCATCTATTCTACTGTCAAATATAACCCTTAAAAATAAATTGGTGGAATGAACCCATTAAAAATAATTTTACCCACCCACAAGTTGTTATTTATTTGGAAATATTCTATTAATTGTATTTTTGTCATTTGAGATTTTTTTTCAAAAAATTGTCTCCTAATTATTGATACCCCATATAAATTTTTTGATTATTTATTACTCCCTCCGTTTCTCTTTAAAAGTCATTTTAAGTCATTGTACGCTTTTTAATAAATTAATTTTTTAATTTAAATTTTTTTTCTCTTTGCTCCTTCCTCTGAAGGTGTGTGGGAAATGGCAATGATGATTGATGGAAAATAAATGGCTTTTAAAGAGAAGGAGAAAGAGAAAGAGAGAGAGAGAGAGAGGAGATGAGGGGTGAGGGAAAGAGAGAGAGGAGACAGGGGCATACTTCGAGAAAGAGAGAGAGGGTTGCATTTGGCCAAACGACATTTATTTTGGAAAAAAATTATAAGGCTAAAACAACTTTTAAAGAGAAACGAAGGGAGTAATATACAATTAGAATATCAAGAACATATCATACTTACCAAAAAATTTGTTGGTATCAATTTCTATTAATGGTCCTTGGATTCCATAAAGGAACTCCACCATTATTTTATGGCCCTGTTGAGCTGCTTTGTGAATGGATAACATTTCCTTGTCTCCATGGATACTCGGTAATTCTACATTCTTCTCAAACATCTGCTCAGCTAGTCTCACATTTCCAGACACAGCAACAAGAAAAAAGGTCGTATTGCCATCACTATTTTTAATAGCCAAATCTTCTTTCCTCATATATTTTATCAATTCTTCAACAAACGTAGAGGAATTTCTCCAAGCTACAATATGAAGAGCAGTATCCTCTTTATTTGATATCCTAGCAGCTAAATATTTCAAATTTTTATATACATCTCCCTAAAAAATATCCCTATGAGCTATGTTCCAATCATTCATCCATGCAGTTGTGTACAATTTGTTCAAGTTTTTTTTTTATTCTTGGATCGTCTGTAAAGGTGAAACAAGAACAAGTTTTGTACATGTGAGGAACTAATTCATTTTGACTAATTTTGATGTAAATTGATAGCGTAATATGAAACATATGAACTGTCTACAAAAAATATCAATTCAAGTATTTTATATCTAATAATGAATAAATTTAATTTATCATATACTACTTTATCTACATTTCTCCTCTTTTTTCAAAAAATCATATATATTTTAAATGATAAATCTTGTTATATAAAATAAATAATTACTTATTAATGTAAATTTTTTATTTTATCAAGATTGATAACTTTTTTTTATGTATGCTAAAAAAAAATATAATATTAGTTGAATAAAAAGAAGAAGAAAAATAAAATATTTTGGTGATTATTAATATTCAAATTGAGAAAATGAAGTAATAATATATGTAATTATAATATCAAGAATAGTGTATTCTTACCAAACAAAGAAACTGTAAATCTGAGATTTAGAAATAATCTGCTGCTATCAATTTCTTGTAAAGAGGCCTTGGATTCCATGAAGGAATTCCACCATCTCTCTATGGCCATTCCGAGCTGCCACGTGAATTGGTAACATTTCCAAATATCCACATATATTTGGTAGCCATCTATTTGTTAACCATATGACACAAAGGGTGCAGATTATAGGTCTGTAAAACATAAAGGGTCATACAGGAACTTACAAATGCGCTGTCGTTTTGAGTTGACTCTTTTAGTTCATCACTTGAGCTCAAACAAGTTGCTGCACTTTACTTTACCAATTCTCTCTTTCATGTATTCTCTCCTCTGTATATAAGAGAGATTTTTGATTGTATTCTTAATTCATTCAACTTAATATACAAATCAGATCTTTCATTTTCTCTCTTACCTAAATCTTCACATGGTATTAGAGCTGAAGACAAACATCTACAGCAACGATTCCTGGCTTTCCCTGTTCAATTCATCACTATGGAGAAAACAACGCTCCTTAATCCAGCTCAATCTTCAACTTTTTCGTCCAGTTTGCAAGCAATCACTCCGAAGCTAACGAGAGATAATTACAAGGATAATTATCGATTCTGGAGGTCTCAAGTCTGTAGGAGCTCATGAATTGGAAGAACATCTAGTGCTATTTCGTGTCCTGGTCCTTTAATTGTTTCTGAAAGTGTTAATTCATCTCAGTCAAATGAAACCCTAGCTAAGGAAAAACTTAATCTAGCCTATGTAGCGTGGAAAAAGACTGATAAATTCCTTGTTACTCCTATTTCAGAATGTATGTTTAGTTACATCTCTAAGTGTCAATTTGCTATTGAAATCTGGTATGCTCTTGAAAATGAGTTCATTACTGACTCTAAAGCATGAGCTCTTCATTTGAAGAATCTCTTGCAAAATACTCAAAAAGGAAATATGAGTGTCAATGAGTTTGTTAAGAAAACGAAGAGTATTGCTGAGAATTTAACATCTAGTGGACAGGTTATAACTGATGAAGACTTACTTCAGTATGTATTAGGTGGCCTAGGTCTAGAATTTGATGCTGTTGTTGTGAACCTAACATCTAGAATTGAGTCTAAGTTTGATTCAGTATCTCGTCAAGAAGCACAGTATATGCTCCAGAAATATGAAATGCGACTGGAGAAATTTAACAGTGTAGATCTTGCTAATAGTTCAGTACATGTTGCTTCTCTTAATAATACTATGTCAAGAGGATTACAAGGCTCTACTGATGCTTCTAATACTCTCCATCAAGTTCATCAAGTACCTTTTCTGTCAAACACTACACCTCCTACACAGACTTACCAGCCTACTGCACCCAATTATTCACCTAGTAATGGATACTTTTCACATGCACATCCAAGTAATTTTGGGCATTCAAGTTATTCTGGTGGAACTTTTGAACCTGCCGTCACAAATTACAGACCATCAGGATTTCAGTCCTATGGAAGAGGTCATGGCAGAGGTACTGGTAAGGGTAAACCAGTATGTCAAGTATGTAGCAAGGTAGGACACACAGCAGTGTAGTGTTATCATAGGTTTAATTCTACTTACAATGGCACTCCACCTCAGTTTGGAACTTCTCACTCTCAATTTGGCATGTTTCCTCAAACTGGAGAGCTTGGTTCTAGATCTCAGTTTGCTACCACTAGTGGCAACTCTTTTGGCAGTAATCTGCCTTTTGGAAGTCATATTGCCATATTCTCCGCCTCACAACAAGCTTATCCACAGTCACATCTTCTTGTTCCCAGTCAGTAGACACACTTTCCAGCCACTAACCAGCCAAGTTTTCCAGTCCCTAGTCAGCAAACCTACTTACCCAACCAAGCCTATCATATAACATCCTTTCCCACTCCACAGCTAGCCCAAACACAAACCAATTTCTCTTCTAATGCTCAAACATAACAACCTAGTCAAGCTTACTTTATCTCTCACCAATATCCTCCTCAATCTTCAACCTCACATACACCTATGACCATTTCTTCTACTACACCAACTGGTCCATCCTGGTACATGGACTCAGGAGCAACTGACCATGTTACCTCTGATCCTCATCACTTAGCAGCAAGCAGGAGCTATGATGGTATAGATCAACTACAAGTTGGGAGTGGTGAGTCTCTAGACATATCCCATGTTGGTTTTACTTTATTACCCAACTCCTTACATTCTAAATGTTTATACTTGAGAAATGTCTTATGTGTGCTAGAATAATTAAGAATCTCCTTAGCATCTCAAAATTCACAAAAGATAACAATGTAGTGGTGGAATTTAATTCTGATTATTGTATTGTTAAGGACAAGGACACTCGAACAGTGCTTTTGCAGGGAGGGCTTAAAGCTGGCTTGTAACAGTTGCACATCCCCTCTACCTTGCCATCCACTCATGAGATTTCACATAATCCCTTTGGTTGTCCTGGACAGATAGTTCCTCCTCATTCAAGTCAACCTTGTCAACCTTATTTTACTTCCCAAGGTCTTAGTTCCATAGCTATGAATAAGTCTTTAAATCCCAACATTAATCCTAAGTGTAACTTGAGTGTCTCTACTGCTACTAATAGTAAATCCAGCACTCTTGATTTTAGCTTACAGCCAAGTAGTTCAAACATTAGTGCAAATGCTGTTTCTAATTGCAATTCAACTTCAATAAATAAAAGTTCTCACTGCAATTTGCCTAAAAATGTTCTCTCTAATTCTAATTGTAATTCTGATTTATGTATATTGCCTATTTCTGCACATAGTAGCTCTAATTCTAATTCTGCCTAGTGTGCTTTGCCTGTTACAAATGACTATGCTTTAACATCTCATAATCATATTACTTCTGTCTCTCATGTGTTGCCTACTGCATCATTGTCTACTGCATCATCTGCACTTCAAGTTACTGATTTTGTTCATAATATAATGCCTGCTCTATCTGACTGTACCAAAGTGACTGATTCATTTTCTAATGAAAACCATACTGGTTCTGTCTCTCATGTGTTGCCCATTGCATCATCTACATTTCAAGTTACTAACATAGCTGGAAACATGAACCTTTGGCACAATAGACTAGGACATCCACATGTTGAAGCTCTTAATAAATTCGGTCTCAGCTGTATATCAAACCTCTAGAGTCTGGTCCTGTCTTATCTTTTTGTGATGCTTGCAAGTTAGGAAAAACACATAGAACAAGCTTTCTTGTCTCTCTATCCAGAGCTGATCACCTTTTAGAACTCATACACAGTGATGTTTGGGGACCAGCACCAGTGGCTTCTCTAGAAGGATTTAGGTATTACATACATTTCATAGATGATTATAGTCGTTTTACCTGGTTATTTCCATTACGAACCAAAGCTGAGGTTAGTTCCACATTCATTAGGTTTCGCCATTTGGTAGAATGACAATTCAATACCAAACTGAAATGTTTACATTCTGACCAAGGTGGTGAATACAAAGGGTTAATTTCTTATCTTACTAATGCTGGAATTGAATTTAAACATTCTTGTGTTTATGTTCATCAACAAAATGGGCGTGGTGAGAGAAAACATAGACATATTGCTGAAACCGTTCTTACTTTACTTGCCCAAGCATCCATGCCATTGCATTTTTGGTGGCTTGCCTTTGAAACTGCTGTTTTTTAATAAATAGAATGCCTTCTTCTGTGTTGAAATTTATCTCTCCTTATCAAATTTTGTTTGGTAGAATTCTGCTTTATTCTTCCTTAAAAGTCTTTAGTTGTGCTTGTTTTCCCTACTTAAGGGATTTCCATAAGCATAAACTAAATTTTGATTCTTCTAAATGTGTTTTTGTTGGCTATAGTCTTGTCCATAAAGGCTATAAATGTCTTATTGCTGAAAATAGAATTATCATTACACCTAGTGTCCAATTCAATGAAACACAATTTCCCTTTGCCACTGGTTTTCCCTCTCCTGTACCTACACATCAGTCCTCTCCTGATACTAATAACATCTCCACCACATGCAGTTTTCCATTTGTTTTTGTGCCTTGTACAACTGATACAAACAGCAAAGTCTCTTCAGCAAAACTCTGCTCTTCTCCTTCCTCTTCTACAACAGTTGGTAAGCAAGTTTCACCATCTACTACTCCTTTTTCTCCTTGGTTAAATTTTGTACCAAATTTCTCTGTTTCTAACTCAAAATTGTAGGATAACTCTTCCATGTCTTGCTCATCATCCAGGTCTTTTCCAATCAGTTCAATTCTGCCTCCTCACACTCACACTACCCAAAATCATTTGTCTGTGTCACAGTGTCCAAAAAGCCCTCTTACTATAGATCTAACCTGCTTTCCACCTGTTGGTTTAGTATCTAAACCTTCCACAGTAACAACACAGTCTTCTTTGTCTAAAAAGTCTCCTGACTGTCAGCTTGTAATTGATCTCTCTTCATCTCAGCCTCCTAAGTCAATGCCTTCCAATATTTCTTCCAATCTGCCCTCAGAAACTGAAATATCTGCTTCTATTACTCCTGCACTATCCCCTAACCCAATAACTAATTTCCATCCTATGCTTACTCGCGCAAAATCTGCTAAACAAACTAGTACTGGTTTAGTAACCAAGCTCTTTACTACCCAACCTGAACCTTCCTCTGTGAATGAAGCTCTTGCTTGTAGAGAGTGGAGAGAGGCTATGCAAGAGGAGTTTAATGCCCTCTTAAAAAATAAGACATGGATTCTTGTTCCTAGAACCTCTGAAATGAATGTTGTGGGTAATAAATGGGTTTTTCGCACCAAGTTTCATGCTGATGGTTCCTTACAAAAATATAAAGCTAGATTGGTGGCAAAAGGATTCCAGCAAACTCCTAGTTTAGACTACTTTGAAACCTTTAGCCTAGTTATCAAACCCTCCACAATTAGGATCATTTTTACCCTTGCTATCTCAAATGGTTGGGACATATAGCAATTTGATGTTAATAATGCTTTCCTTAATGGAATTTTGAGTGAAACAGTTTACATGAGTTAGCCCATTGGTTTTGAGCATCCTGAATTTTCTTCTTATGTATGCAAACTCAATAAGGCTTTGTATAGTCTCAAACAAGCCCCAAGAGCTTGGTTTGACAAGCTCAAGCAAGCTCTACTGAATAGGGGATTTCAAAATTCAGTATCAGACTCTAGCCTATTTATTTTCAAGGATTCGGTTCAAGTTCTCTACATTCTCATCTATGTAGATGACATCCTCATCACTGGTTTAGAGCATTCCTCCATTTTGAAAATTGTGACAGATTTAAACAGTGAATTCTCATTAAAAACACTTGGCTTTGTTGGTTATTTTCTTGGGATAGAAATCTACTAGAAGTACTGAAGGTATTCATCTCAAGCAAACCAAATACATTGGTGATCTACTAGTCAAAACCAAAATGCAAGATGCTCATCCTTGTCCAACTCCCATGGCTGCCGGGACAAAGCTTTTCTCTTCTGACAGTGAATTATTTAAAGATCCCACTTTATATAGAAGTACCATTGGAGCCTTGCAGTATGTGACATTGACTAGACCCGATATAAGCTTCACAGTCAACAAGCTTAGTCAATTTCTCCAAGCACCCACTGAACTTCAGTGGCAAGCCTACAAAAGAGTGTTAAGGTACATAAAAGGAACTCAATTCCATGGTTTACAGTTCAAACCAGCAACTACTCTTTGTGTTGAGTGTTACACAGATGCTGATTGGGGAAGTAACCTTGATGATAGAAGGTCTACTAGCTGGTATTGTATCTACTTGGGACCTAACCTTGTTCAATGGAGTTCTCGCAAGCAAAAGGTTGTTGCTTTGTCTTCAACAGAGGCTGAATACAGAGCTCTTGTGCAAACAGCAACTGAACTGGCTTGGTTAGACAGTTTGTTCTCTGAATTAGGTGTTAAGGTGACTACAACTCATTTAATTTGGTGTGATAATCTTAGTGCAGGAGCTTTGGCAGCCAATCCTGTTTTTCATGCTCGAACCAAGCATATAGAAATTGACACACATTACATAAGGGATCAGGTTCTAGCTAAGAAAGTGATAGTGCAATATGTCCCTTCCAAATTGTAGATTGCGGATGTTCTGACAAAGTCATTATCAGTAGCTCAATTTCAGGAGCTAAAACAAAAACTTAAATGTTGTTGAAGTGAGTGTTTCTGCTGACAAAAATGTTAAGTAGTTGACTGGGCTGATTGTTGAAGTGAGTATTTCTGCTGACAAAGGAAGTGAGTGTTTCTGCTAACAAAAAAAAAGTTAAGTAGTTGACTGGGCTAATGTGCTATTGAAATGCCTCTATTTCAGCTTTTTTTTTTAGGGGTGTAGCAGGAATAAAAATGAAGTTGTTCAGAATCCAGAATTTAAGTTGACAATTAGTTATTTTGGAAATGAAAATGAGTTTGTGGAGTGTTGTGAAAAATGCAGCTTCAAGCTTATGGAGTTGTGCAGGTTGTGAAGAGTTGTGAAAAATGAAGTTTTTAGAGTTGTGGAAAATGCAGTTTCTTTTAGTTCGTGAAAAACACAGTTTCAGCTTATGTTTGTGTGAATACTGCAGTTTGTGAAGTATTAAGAAAACAGGATATGCAGGTTGAGAAGTGCTTTGTTTTGTGCAGTGTGAGAAGTGTTTTTTTTTGTGTTGAATTTTGCAATTTGCAAAGTGTTGAGAAAACAGGATATGCAGTTTGTGGTTGTTTAGTCTGTTGAAACAGACTCTGCAGTTCCAGCTTGAGCTAATGCAGTTTATGACAGTTTGTAAATAGCTTATGGCAATTATTCAGTTGGAGGTGTATGCAGTTTCAGTTTGGAGAATATTGTAGTTTGTGAAGTGTTGAGAAAACAGGATATGCAGTTTGTGGTTGTTTAGTCTGTTAAAAAGAAACTCTGTAGTTCCAACTTGAGCTAAGGCAGTTTATGACAGCTTGTAAATAGCTTATGGCAATTATGCAGATTTATGGAGATCTGCTGGATCTTATTGTGCAGAAAATGGAGATTAGAGTGCTGCAACTGAGCAATTGTTTCTTTAGCAACTGAGCAGCTTACAGTTCTGAAGCTATAAAAATCTGATATGTAGTTATGAAAATGCAGATAGCTATGCAAATACAATTCTGAAGCTGTAAAATCTGGAAATTAGACTGCAGCAACTGAGCAAACTATGAAAATGCAGATAGCTATGTAAATACAGTTATGAAATTGTAAAGTCTGAAGCTGTAAAATGACTGTTGATGTGTACTGTGTTGCTAGAAGAAACAAGAGGTCTAAAGAAAAATGTTAACTTTCAACCGTATGAGGAGTAGTCTAGTTTGAGGGGAAATGTTAACCATATGACACAAAGGGTGCAAATTGTAGGTCTGTAAAACATAAAGGGTCATACAGGAGCTTGCCAATGCGCTGTCGTTTTGAGTTGACTCTTTTAGTTAATCACTTGAGCTCAAACAAGTTGTTGCACTTTACTTTACCAATTCTCTCTTTCGTGTATTCTCTCCTCTGTATATAAGAGAGATTTTTTATTGTATTCTTAATTCATTCAACTTAATATACAAATCAGATCTTTCATTTTCTCTCTTACCTAAATCTTCACACTATTCTTCTCAAACATAACCCTAGCAACATCCATCCTTCCGTTAGCAACAGCAAGTAAAAAAGCGGTATCCTCATCATCATTTATAATAGTCAATTCTTCTTTTAGCATTTACTTTATTAGTTTACAAGTGAAGAAGTTTAACGACATAAAAATGAGAGGATACTCAAAACAATGCATGTTTAAAAAATTAAAATAAAATAATGCTAATTTACACAATAAGATCTAAACATATCAAGTTGGTTTTCACAAGGAAGAGATGTTTATTAATGTGAATATTACTAGATAATAGCCAATTTACACTATATATATATGTTGAAAATTCAAAAATATTTTATACATACATGTGATATTTTAATTAAAAATTATATATTGAAACGTATTTGTTAAAACAACAATTTATCCAAAAAGATTTCAGAACATTAATTTCCAAATTAATGAGAATAGTTAAATGAGCAAATAAATTTAATTTATCATGTAATACTTTATCTATATTTCTCCTCTTTTTCAAAAATAAATACAAGTTACTATATTAAATAAATAATTATATAATAATGTAATATTCTTATATTAGATCAATATTGATAATGTTTTCCTTCTTTATGTATGCTAAAAAAAAAAAAAAAAAAAAAAAAATTAGTCCTCCCAATAAAAGTATAATAAAAATAAAATATTTTGTTGATAATTAATATCTTGCATCAAGTAAATATGCAGTTAGAAACTGAAGAATTGATCATACTTACCTGTCAATATTTTCTTATCCATCTGTTCTAAAGGTCTTCCAATTCTATGAAGGAACTTCACCATCAATTTATGGCCCCTCTCAGCTGCTTTATGAATGGGTAACATTTCATTCTTTCCGCGAATATTCGGTAATTCTAAATTCTTCACAAACATTTGATTGGCTAGTCTCACATTTCTAAATGCAGCAACAAGAAAAAAAGCCGTATTGCCATCCTTATTTTTAATAGACAAATCTTTTCTCTTCATATATTTTATTAGTTCTTTTAGATTTTGAGTAGAGAGTAAAATGAGAGTTTTTATTAATTGGGTAAAAAACTAACATTCTAGAAAATACAATATGTTTTAAAAGCTTAACTCAAGCTCTAACTCTAGTAAACTCAACTAACACTTAACTAACTATAGTTACAATTATGTTATATTAGTAACCAACTTAACACTACTCTACTGAAGTGTATTAAGCTAACTGAAGTGTGCAACTAAAGTGTGTGTTGAACTGTTGAGCTACCAGAACTGATAATATCTCCAATACCCCACCCCCCCCCCCCCCCCCCCCCCTCTCAAGTTGGTGAGGAATAAAGATTAGTGACTCCCAACTTAGACAAAAAATGATAATGCAACTGACTCCCGAGTGACTTAGTCAAGATATCAGCCTTTTGCTCTCCACTAGGAACATATTTGGTTTGAAGTACACCAGCTTGAATCTTCTCTCGAACAATATGACAATCAATGTCAATATGCTTGGTGCGTTCATGAAACATCGGATTAGAAGCAATATGCAAGGCTGATTGGTTATCACAAAAAAGAGGGACAGGAGAAGAAAGAGGATAGCCAAGTTCTAAAAGCAATTGCACCAACCAAACAATTTCACAGTCTGTAGAGGCCATGGCCCTGTATTCAGCCTCTGAAGAAGATCGAGACACTATGACTTGCTTCTTAGACTTCCAAGATAGAAGTGACTTCCCCAAGAACACACAAAAACCAGTAATTGACCTCCTTGTTAGTAAACAAGAAGCCCAATCTGAATCACAATAAGCATTAAGCTGGGCAGAATTTTCAAAAGGAAAAAATAAGCCTAAACCAGGAGCATTTTTTATGTATTTGACAATCTTCAAGGCTGCTTGCATATGAGACACTTTAGGAGCATGCATAAACTGACTTAACATATTGACTGAATAGCTCAAATCTGGACATGTCATACATAAGTAGAGAAGTTTACCTATGAGCTGTTGATAAGGAGCAGCATTAGGTAACAAGGGATCTCCCGAAATGTCAAATTGGTTATCATAATCTGATGATGTAAACTTTACATGTTGATCAAGAGGGATAAGAGAAGGTCGAGTGCTAGCTAAACCAGTAGTGGATATCAACTCCAAGGCATATTTGCATTGACAAATAGAAATTCCCTTATCAGATCTTGCCACCTCTAAACCAAGAAAGTATCTTAGCAGCCCCAAGTCTTTAAGTTTGAAATGTGAGTGAAGTAATAGCTTAGTTTTAGCTATCAAGGCTGAACTACTACCCGTGAGGACTATATCATCAACATAAACTAGAACAGCCACCATTTGATTACCATCCTTCTTTACAAATAATGAATAATCTAATTTGGATTGAGAGAAACCACCTTGAACCAAGGCAGAAGTAAGCTTGAAATTCCAGGCCCTAGAGGCCTGTTTTAAACCATATAAAGACTTGGTAGGCTTGCACACAATATGTTGTCCAGAGGGCTTAGGAAAACCTTGAGGTAAGGTCATGTAAATTTCTTCAAGTAAGTCTCCTTGCAAGAAAGCATTATCAACATCAAGATGATATAAAGGCCAATTGTTTATGGAAGCCAAAGACAAGATAGTCCTAACAGTTACCATTTTAACAACAGGGGAAAATGTTTCCTCATAATCAATCCCTGCTTGTTGTGTGTAACCCTTTGCCACTATCCTAGCCTTATACCTCTCCAAGGTTCCATCGGCATTAAATTTCAGCTTGTACACCCATTTACATCTAATTGGATGTTTACCAGGAGGCAAGGGGACCAATGACCAAGTATGATTATCTTTTAAATCTTTTATCTCTTTTGACATAGCCTCAAACCATTTAGGATCTTTGGAAGCTTGGGAGAAACTGACAGGTTCAGTTAAGGAAGAAATTTTGCTAAGACAAACTTGGTATTTGGGTGAAATTTGTGTATAAGAAATACAATCTGAAATTGGATACTTCATTAGATGAGTTTGTGACGAAGAAGAGAGTGTGGGGCAATGAAAATCTGTGGTCCAAATGGGTTGTTTGGTAATTCTGGTGGATTTCCTAGAAGGTTCAGGATGAGGATCTCTTAAGGATTCAGGTTCAAAAGTAAGATTAGGAACAATTGGTGGACTGGTAGGACTTGATATATGTGAGGAATTAGAGATCACAGCTGGTTCTGTTGTGGAATTAGTAAGGTAATCATGATGCAGAGGGGACATACTTGAATGTGTATGTAAATCAGATGTGTCAATGTCTAAGAAGGAATCTGATGGAAAAAGAGGCAAAGTTGATGTATGCAATTTGAAAGGAAATAAGTGCTCATAGAATACAACATCCCTAGTAGTTTGGATAGTATGAGTTTGTAAATTATGTAATAAGTAACCTTTTTTATTCAAAGAATAGCCTACAAAAACACATGGAGTAGAGCGGGGAGAAAATTTATCCTTAGGAGTAAGAATGGTAGAATAGGCTAAACATCCAATAACTCTCAAGTGTGCAAGTGAAGGGGGCTTGC